AAATCTCCCACTACTAATGTGTGTGGTTTGATGTGTGATTTAAGCTTTAGTACTGTTTCTTTTACAAAAACACTGAAGAAACCTTATGCTGGAGAGGATGAGAAGCTAGGGGAACTCTCCTCCACTGCTGGTGGGAATGCAAGCTTGCACAAAAACTTTGAAAATCAATATGGCGCTTTCTTAGAAAATTGGGAATCAATCTCCCGCAGGACCCAGCTATACCACTCTTGGGCATATATCCAAGGAATGCTCAATTATACCACAAGAGCACTTGCTCAGCTATGTTCATATCAGCATTGTTTGACTAGACTACTACTCACAACTCCAAGGAGGCTATCTAGAAAACAGGACCCTAAGAAAGACACAGGGATAACCCAATTAAAGAAATGGATGAGATCTACATAAACAACCTGGATGTGAGTGGGGGTAGTGAAGGGCAAGTGTTGAGAGAAAGAGAGCCTAGGGGAGCGGGAGATCCCAGCTGGATCAAGAACAGAGAGGGGAAACAAGAAAGAAGACACCATGACAAATAAAGACCACATGAGAATAGGAAGAAGCAAAGTGCTAGAGAGGTCCTCAGAAATCCACAAAGATACCTCCACAATAGACTTCTGGCAATGGTTGAGAGAAAGCCCGAACTGACCTACTCTGGTGATAGGATGGCCAAACACCCTAATTGTCCTGCTAGAAACCCCATCCAATGACTGAGGGAACCGGATGCAGAGATCCATGGCCAGGCCCAAGGTGGAGCTCCAGGAGTCAAACTGGTGAGAAAGAGGAAGTTTTGTATGAGCGAGAATTGTTGAGACCAAGATTGGAAAAAGCACAATGACAAATAGCCAAATGAATGGAAACACCAGCTTGCTTAAGTCCCTTTGATTGGAAAGTCTTTTCCCAGCTTTTTCCTCTGAGGTTGTGTCTGTCTTTGAAGTTGAGGTGTGTTTCTTGTATGCAGCAGAAGGATGGATCCTATTTTTATATCCATTCTATTAGCCTGTGTCTTTTTATAGCTGAATTGATTCCATTGATATTAAGATATATTAATGACCAGTGTTTGCTAATTCCTGTTATTTTTGGTGTGTTTAGTGTTGTGTGCTTCTCTTCTTTGCTATTTGTTATTGTGGGATTATCTGTTGCCTGTGTTTTCATGGGTATATCTAAGTTCCTTAGGTTAGATTTTTCCTTCTATTCTTTCTTAGGGCTATATTTGTGGATAGGTAATGTTTAAATCTGGTTTTATCATGGAATATTTTGTTTCCTCTGACAATGGCTATTGAGAGTTTTGCTGGGTATAGTAGTCTGTGTTGGCATCCATATCTCCTAGTGTCTGTATAATGTCTGTCCAGGTGTTGTTTCAGAGGCTCCATTGAGAAGTCAGGTGTTATTCTTATGGGCCTGCCTTCACATGTTACTTGGGCATTTTCCTTTGCAGCTCTTAATATTTTTCTTTATTTTGTATGCTTAGTGGTTTGATTATTATGTGGCGAGGGATTTTTTTGGATTCAGTCTATTTGATGTTATGTAAGCTTCTTGTATCTTCATAATCATTTCCTTCTTTAGGTTGGGAAAGTTTTTTTCTATGATTTGTTGAATATATTTTCTCTGCCTTTCAGTTCTTCTCTTTCTTCTATCCCTATTATTCTTAGGTTTGGTCTTTTCATGGTGTCCCAAATTTTCTAAACATTTGTTTTATGATTATTTTGGCTTTAGATGGATAGCGCTCAGTAGAAAAGGGTTATTCAACAGAAGTTTTATAGTCGTTTATTTCAGAGTCTGAGTTATCTGTCAAGGTGGATCCAGAAACATCCACCACAACAATACACAGTATTGTCATCAATTTTTGTTTCCCATCAAATAGTAAAATGCCATTGATGAAGATATCATAAACTTTGGTTGTAGGATAAGCAGAAATCAAGCTGAAAATGAGCAGAAATTTTCCTCCTTTTTATTAGCTTCATAATCTGGAATGTGCTGTGCAGGATTCTAAGGGAGGAAAGTCACCAATGTTTCTACATAGCTATGAAGACTATGTCCTATATACCTGCCAGAAGGCTCCATCTGCCTACTTGTGCATGACTGTTAAAGGAAGAGCTAACTGCTTTCTTATGGTATGTGAGGTATTATCAACAGGAGAGTATAGTATGGTACCATAATACTGGGTCAAAAATTCACTGCAGGAAATATTACAAGCCTTGGAGAGGTATCGGCCACTCTTATTTTGCTAAATTTACATGCATCAAACTACTTTAGTTTTATATATATGAACAGAGTAATACTGGTCTCAGTGTTAGTTGGACATTTCTGTACACAATTGGTAATGATTAATTGGTAATACAGATTTGTAGCTTGTCAAAATGTGGAGAATAAGTGACCATGGAGTACTTTGACCTAATCAGCACATCTATATTCCCCTCTCCATGGTTCAGGTAACATGGAAGAAGAAAGGTGAGGGATGAAGAGCAGTGCTGTGAAATATTATCTCCTGAATATATTGTCACATTGTACTAGTGAACTCACAGCAAGTATGGTTCCCTGCCCAAGAGTGACATAAGCCTGAGTTGTCAACATTAAAGCTTTGTTAAAGGAGAGGATGATGAGGACTCTCTCTGTTACTTGTCCTGCTACTATGATAAAATACTTAGGGACATGGAAGCAGCTTAAAGGAGAAAGGGTATTATAGCTCGCATTCCATGGTACAGTTGATTGTGGAAGGGAAATCAAGGTAACAGAACCTTGAAGCAGCAAGAAGCACTATGTCCAAATATAAGAAGCAGAAAAGGATGAATGAATATATGCTGGTGCTCAGTTAACTTTCTTCATTTTATACGCATCAGAACTTCCTTGTCCCAAAAAAATAGTCCCAAACACAGTTAAAAAGCTACTCCCCATATCAATCACTTTAATCAAGATGATGCCTCAGAAAAAAAGTGCAGAGGTTCAGGAGCCATAAAGGACTGTTGAAGGTGTATCCATGCTCTCCATACCTCTGTGCTGAACTGATTATCTAAGACTTCATGCTCACTTATCTCCTTTTTTTCCAAGACAAGGTTTCTCTGTGTAGCTTTGCACCTTTCCTGGAACTCACTCTGTAGCCCAGGCAGGCCTCAAACTCACAGAGATCGGCCTGCTTCTCTGCCTTCCAAGTGCTGGGATTAAAGACATGTACCACCACTGCCTGGCAGGGGAAATGACAGTCTTTTTTTTTTCATCTCCTTCTTTGCAGTGTCCCAGTTTTTGCTCCATCGGGCCCTGCATCTTCAGAGCACCCAAGTGCACACTATGGTTTTCACACAATTAACAAGAACAGGGGATTGTGAAAATGGAAAATTCACACTTGACCTTAACAAAACAGCAAGGATGCATAAGGGTCTCCTTTTCACACCTCTCAAATATTCCAATAGTCAACTGAGGACTAAACAAATATCCTATATTGTGAGAATGAAAACATGTATAGCTTGATGGTATCAAGCCTTCTCACACAGAACCAGTCAGAGAGGGCAAGGTTGCCATGTCTGCTATGATCGCCGCCTCTGGTTGTTTCCAGCATGGAACAGGCTGACCTTGGTATGGAGGAATAAGCTGGGACTTCAAGGTGCCAATGCAAAGGTTTATACACAACAATCAACAAATATCACAGACCAGGACTTGTTTAACAAAATGATATTTTCAAAACATTACCAACTGCATTCAACCACAGAGTTGCTTTAAACAGTAGACAAATTATCAGAAATCTCACAATGAGTTTGTGATGATATATAAAGTTAGAAAGTACAGAATTTGGGGGCATCATTTATATTCAGTTATATTTCATTCTAGAATCTGACTTATGCTCATTCTTTTATTGATGCTGTACTGAGTCAAATTCCTTGTTCATAGTAACAACATCCACAAAAAGCAGATGCTTATAATGCAAAATAGAGAACGTGGTAATTTATAATAAAGGAAAGTATGCAAAGAGACTGGGGGAAAGCAGAAGATACACAGAGGAAAAGACTCAAACATCACTGCTGGGACAACATGCTCCCCACATCATAGACTGAAAAGAAAGGAAGAAAAATCTTCACAGCCCACAGCAAGGCAGAGGGTAGAGTCTTTATGAGGTGGTGGAAGAGCTCTTCACACCAACATTTAGATATTTTCCTGCACCCAAAACACATTTCCTTCCTGGATGTTTTCTCACAAGTGATTCCCAATATTAAACATTGAATTTTAAGTTAAAAAAACACCAGAGACCCTCATATTTGTTTCCCATATATGGTCACATTGCATGGCCTGTTGATATATTTTGTCTTCACTTCTAGGATGCAGTTAAGATCCTTCTGTGCCTGTGGCAAGCTTCAAACAGCAAAATCCCAAAAAGTGTAAGGATCAAGCCAGACATGCCCAACCGGATGAGGTTCTCCACTGTGTGATCCTGGGGTGGTGAGACTAGAAATTGTTGACAAAGACATCAGGACCAACGAAAGCCACCATAAGATAACTGTATTTCTACTCTGAGAGGCCCCCTCCTCAGTATAGAATTTGGCCTTCTGTGTCATGCCCAAACCAGAATTTTCCTTACTCACCTGTCAGGGCTTCTGACATGTTTTGTGGTTGTCTGGTGGTCTCAGGTGCTCCTGAGAAACAAAGACATGTTGAATGTGTGAAGTGCTCAGGAGAACTGGTTCTTTTTGTCCAATTTCATCCTCTTATTTCCTAGAAATACATATTAATCTCATCACACAACATCATGAAAATCTGAGATGAAACCTATCTGTGCTGTATCAGGCTTCCTCCTGGTCTTTGTCTTGATTTCTTCAGCCTGACTATGCTCTGAGTTCAGAATTTCTGTCTTAGGCACCTCTTTAGAATAAAGTTTATCTGATCCCAGAGAGTTGAGATGGAAAAGTATGGTCTCTGAGTTCAGAATAAAGGAGCCTTCCTGTGATGGCAGCTCAGTCTGGAGTATAGAATCCTGGAAGCTAGTTCCCCATAAAATTGATTTGCATCAATTCACCAGCTA